ATGGGAAGGGTTTAATGTATAATAGGTACAAAATTTTGTGTATAAAGATTTCTAACTGCATCAAAACTAACGTAACAAGCAAAGTTAACATTTGTTAACCCTTCAAGGGGAGTTCTTTGACGCTGGTGAGGGGCTCTTGATCTAGGAATTTGGATCTATGCTCCAGTTCCCTGAATTGAGTCTTGAATGCCTTCCACCCCAAGTGTTCAACTGCCTCCCAGTATGCATGAGGGGGATTACCAATAGACCCCTGGCTGTCTTCAAGAAGGGACTGGACAGGCACGTGACCAGCTGGGCTGTGGTTCATACGTCAGTTTGCGTGCGGCCAGCCGTAACAGCCTGGTTAATCAGACCCTGATCCACCACGAGGCCTGGTTTCGGACAGGGCAGCGGGGGCGTTGACCCTCGAAACCCTCTCCAGGTATACTCTCCAGGTAACATAATGAGGACTACGAGGTGTCAGCAGGAACAGTAAGTTGAGGGAATCGTCAATCCTGCGTAGTTGGTCGATTGATTGTGAAGTAGATAACAAAATCAAGTGCTAAACCCGAGAGGATCCTACAGCGCTGCAGGAAGATGTGGGAAAGCAGTAATGTGCAAAGGTGATGGTGTAGTGCTGGAGTGCGAGGGTGGAGGCTAATTGGAGTAGGGAAAAATGCAAGAAGAAAAGCAGGATCACAGTTGATGCAGTAAGTACTTTGTTAAAAAGTCAGTCTGCATCAAACTTTCAGCAGGGCCAGTGAGAGCTAGTATGTTAAAGTAGATGCAGGCTGCTGTGTAATGCAGCAAAGTATGAATGAAGATCTGATGGTATGGTATACCAGTGCGCACAAGAAGTGCACTTTCATTAAAAGTTCCCTTGGGATAAGGATCAGATGAATGTAATAAAACTTAGCCCGAGACGGGATGGATAACTGCAGAGCATAATTTAGGTTCTTGTAAACAGACACAAACAGGAAAATCTTTGAGAGCAACACCTGAAGATCACCGCGATTACCCAAGGCCTCGTATACTCACTGTAAATAAGCCATGATTTGCAAGAAAAGTATACTGGGAATATGAAGTGGTACGTGTCCATGAACTAGTAGGGGTATGAAAGTCTACATGGGGAGGCAGTGGAAAACGAGTAAGCAGCAAAGGACTGGAACTTCGCGAAGAAAGAGTTGTGCAGGTAGTTTAGACGAGTGAGCCCCTCAAGGATGGTTCCTTGATGTTGGTGAGGGGCTCTTGATTTAGGGAATTGGATCTGTGCTCCAGTTCCCCGAATTAAGCCTGAATGCCTTCCACATCCCCCCCCCCAGGCGCTGTATAATCCTCCGGGTTTAGCGCTTCCCCCTTATAATAATAATAATAGACGAGTGAGGAGAGATGGGAGGTGGATCACTGTCCATCAGTGGGTTTGTCTCCGTATATTGTTGAAAATAAAAAAGTTTTGGAGTGAGATTAATAAGTTGAGGAAGCCTAGGGAACGAATGGATTTGACAGTTAAAAATAGGAGTGGAGAGTTATTAAATGGAGTTAGAGGTATCGGGAAGATGGAGGAATTGTTAATGTTGATGATAGGAAAGCTGAGATTTCGTGTATAAGGCAAAGAGGAATAACATCTTGTAGGAGTGAGGAAGAGCCAGTTGTGAGTGTGGGAGAAGTTCGTGAGGCAGTGGGCAGAATGAAAGTAGGTAAGGCAGCTGGGATTGATGGGATAAAGATAGAAATGTTAAAAGCGGGTGGGGATATAGTTTTGGAGTGGTTGGTGCTATTATTTAATAAATGTATGGAAGAGGTTAAGGTACCTAGGAATTGACAGAGAGCATGCATAGTTCCTTTCTATAAAGGCAAATGGAACAAGAGTGCAAAAATTATGGTAAAGTGTATGGTAGTTATTATTGAAAGAATTAAGAGTAAGACGGAGAGTAGGATAGCATATAAACAAGGAAGCTTTAGGGAGGATAGGGGTTTTGTAGACCAAGTGTTTACAGTGAAACATATAGGTGAACAGTATTTAGATAAGGGTAAAGAGGGTTTTGTGGCATTTATGGATTTGGAAAAGGCGTATGACAGGGTGGATAGGGGGGTAATGTGGCAGATGTTGCAGGTGTATGGAAGAGGAGGTAGGTTACTGAAAGCAGTGAGGAGTTTATACGAAGATAGTGAGGCTCATGTTAGAATATGTAGGAGAGTAAGAGATTATTTCCCACTAAAAGTAGGCCTTAGACAAGGATGTGTGATGTCACCGTGGTTGTTCAGTATATTTGTAGATAGGGTTGTAAGAGAAGTGAATGTGCAGGGCTCTGGTGGCCTGGTGGTTAACGCTCTCGCTTCACACGGTGAGGGCCTGGGTTCGATTCCCAGCCAGAGTAGAAACATTGGACGTGTTTCTTTCAACCTGTTGTCTATGTTCCCCATCAGTAAAATGGGTACCTGGGTGTTAGTCGACTGGTGTGGGTCGCATCCTGGGACACTGACCTAAGGAGGCCTGGTCACAGACCGGGCCGCGGGGGCGTTGACCCCCGGAACTCTCTCCAGGTAAACTCCAGGTAGGTGTGGGGTTAAAAGACAATCTAGCACAAAATGGGAGTTGTCATAGTTGCTCTTTGCTGATCATACTGCTTTTGGGAGATTCTGAAGAAAAGTTGCAGAGGTTGGTGGAAGAGTTTGATAGGGTATGTAAAAGAAGAAAATTACAAGTGAATATAGGAAAGGGTAAGGTGATGAGGATGACAAAAAATTAGGTAACGAAAGAGTGGATATCAGATTGGAGGGAGAGAGTATGGAGGAGATGAATGTATTCAGATATTTAGGCGTGGACGTGTCAGCAGATGGGTCTGTGAAGGATGAGGTGAATCGTAGAATTGATGAGGGGAAAAGGGGTGAGTGGTGCACTTAAGAGTCTGTGGAGACAAAGAACTTTGTCCGTGGAAGCAAAGAGGGAGATGTATGAAAGTATAGTTATACCAACAATCATATGGGTGTGAAGCATGGGTGGTGAATGTTGCAACAAGGAGAGGGTTGGAGGCAGTGGAGATGTCATGTCTGAGGGCAATGTGTGATGTGAATATAATGCAGAGAATTCGTAGTTTGTAAATTAGGAGGAGGTCCGTGGTTACCAAAACTATTATCCAGAGGGCTGAGGAGGGGTTGTTGAGGTGGTTCTGACATGTAGAGAGGATGGAACAAAATAAAATGACTTCGAGTGTATAAATCTGTAGTGGAAGGAAGGCAGGGTAGGGGTCAGCCTAGGAAAGGTTGGAGGAAGGGGGTAAAAGAGGTTTTGTGTGCGAGGGGCTTGGACTTCCAGCAAGTATGAATGAGCGTATTTGATAGGAGTGAATGGAGACAAATGCTTTTTAGGACTTGACGTGCTGTTGCAGTGTGAGCAACAGCCAGGACTCAAATCTTGCAGGCCAGAGTTGAGTCCTGGAGATGGGAAGTACAGTATATATACTCTGAAGGAGGGGTGTTAATGTTGCAGTTTTATAACTGTAGTGTAAGCATGCCTCTGGCAAGACAATGATAGTGAATGAGTATGAATTTTTTTCTATTTTGGGCCACCCTGGCTTGGTGGGAAGCAGCCGATGTGTTAATAAAATAAAAATAAATATTCAGAGATAACTCAAAAGTGTTTGAGGACAAGGAAGTTGCATGTAGTACATCAGAGGTAGAAGGGGGAGGGTAAGTAAAGATCGGAAAGGTGATGGAAGTTATCAAAGAAGGGGGGATGAGTGGGTAGTTAACTTGGGAAGAAACTTGGGAAGGGAGAGGAAGAAAGTTGGGAGCTGACTGGAGAGGGGACTGTAGAAGGGGGAAGATGAACCTCTACACTCATAACAGAACTAGTAAGAGGTAAAAAACTAGGTACAGAGACTGGAAAGGAAAAATATTTGGAAAGGCTGTGTGAAGAAGGGGTAAAATGAGGTTTGAACTTTGGGGATGGTTTAGACTTTAGAGAAGTAGAGAGGTGAGGAGAAAGATGTGATTGTGCGAGGTTTTGTAGACATAGAAACATGTGAGCAAGAAGATGAAGAATCAAGGACAGACAGTATTAGGTGTCAAGGACCTTGGAGGCAAGAACCGCAAGAGTTAGAGGTGACTAAGGAAGTTGTGACACTAGAGACAGTGGAAGTAGGTACTACAAAGGTTGGAGGTCTCTTAGCCACTCTAGAATAAGAGTCATGGAATTCTTCCCTGGAGGCGAAGATGAGAGACTGCTTTAGCATATGTAAAACCTTCTTTCTCTTTCAGACAACAAATTTCCCGTCCTTTTAGGTAAACTTGGCAACTGCAAAAAAAAGCTGGTTGAGCCTCATCATGATCAAGGCAAGAGGGATTCAGGCTGCAGGATGTATTTGTATGGTAGTCAGCACCACAGACTGGGCACTCTGTCATGGACCTGCAAAATTTTGCAATTTCTGTACTGTTGTGGTGTAGGGATCAATTCTCCGATTTGGAGATGGTGTCCCGCAAGATAAACTGAAGATGGAAGCTCACAAGAGTCAAAAGTTAAGCAAGCCACATTGCAGGGGTAGCATCTCTGCCTGTAGGCAGGTAGTATATGTCTACTTGGAGAATTGGGAGGTCTTGGAGCTCAAGCTGTTCTAGAATGTCGTCACCACGTCTGGAAATTGTTTAACAATGGTGTGAGGTAGAATGACGGTACCACTACAAGAATGAAGAGAATGGTGTTTTTGAATTGTTACAGGGATAGGATCTACTGTGGTAAGGAGAGAAAAATTGTGGGCTTCACTAGCATTTTGTACCGTGACGATGCGTTCACTGCTCTTGAGAGCATGAAACAAAATATTTTGACCAATATGGTGTAGGAGTGCCTTGCTGATTCAGTACTATGATCTGATAGTCAGTAGATGTCCATTGTAGAGTAAAAGAAACTTGGTCCATTGTGTACTTTGGAACATAGTAAGGGAAGCGAGTGTCGTGCCAGTCTTTTCTGGGCAGAGTGAGAAGTAATAGTAGTGTCATCAGTTAATGGTCTTGGTCATTTAGGTGTGAGACCGGAGTTGGTCCGACTCGAGATGGGTGAGCAATACAAGAATTGTCGCACCATAGAGGGAGAAGCTGGAAGCACGGTCAAAGAAGTATAGAGGTCGGGTGTATCAGTCGGGCAAAACCTCAGCACCTGGAGCTGGTGATGAAACGGCACGAGCAGAAGGTACAGGGGCATTAGGAAGGTCCAAAGAATGGGCAAATAATGAGGTAAGGGATGAAGTAAACAGGGGCAGCAAACAAATAATGGACGTGTATTACTATCCTGTATGTAGAAGGCTCGTGAAGGTCATGAGAGCGGACAAAACGGAGGCAATGAGCATCACTACAATCATTCAAGGATGGGACATTTGCTTCTGCATAGAGGCTCTCAACAGGTGAGGAGAGAAAAGCACCTAGACATAAATGTAATTCCTGATGATGGATGGGACAGAGTTTAGAAAGAGTTGCAGGAGAGACTGCAGAACATATCTGGTCACCATAATCTAGCTTCGATAAAATTAGGGCTGAATGCCGTTGAAGGAGGGTTTGACAATCTGCCCCCCCATGAAGGGTTTTAAGGAAGTTCAGCCGACTATGGCAGGTTTCTAAGACACTGACGATCGAACAGTAGGCCGAGAAATCTGACCATATCACATTCAGGGATTTGTGAGCCATACAGGTACATTGGGGTACAGTAGGGCTCCACTTATTCGGCAGGTTAAGTTCCAGGCTTCTGCCGGAAAGCGGACATCGCCAGAAAGCAGAACGCCATTTTTTCCACTTGCAAACGCATATAAATTCTAGATAACTAAGTTTCCACTAACATACTGTATTAAGTTAGCAATAGAACTAGGCATTAAAAACAATAAAGAGTAAAATACCCACACAGTATACTCATTACTTACCTTAAAATACTCGTCTTAATGTAGGGTGAGAGGTAAATAAATGAGGTAAAACGAGTAAGTGAGAGAGGTGCGGAGGATGTAAACAGACGGACATGCTGGTTATGGTTGATACTTTCATCTACACCTAACATCTCATATTTGTTAATTTATTCTACTGTGGGGTGTATTTGTTTATTTGTTACATTGCATGTTTATTAAATAATTTTGAAAAAATAGAGGGATTAATGAAAATGTTTATATCAATGTAATACTACAACATTTAATGCACCTCGGTGATTATTATTGCATATTATCATATGCGTCCTCAGAACTAACAAGACACTTAGTGATTTTAAAGTGTACCTGCAAGCCAGCACAGTGTGTAAGTTTATTTAGGTAAAGGTACACATAAGTATAATTTTATTATTAACACACTGGCCGATTCCCACCAAGGCAGGGTAGTAGGTTGGTAGACAGTTACCACCCATGGAAGTACTACCGTCCTGCCAGATGACTGTGAAACAGAAACCTGTAACTGTTTTACGTGATGGTAGGATTGCTGGTGTCTCTTTCTGTCCCATAAACATGCTAGATAACAGGGATATCTTGCTACTCCTATTTACACTTTGGTCACACTTCAGACACGCACATGCATATATATATATACATACATCTAGGTTTTTCTCCTTTTTCTAAATAGCTCTTGTTGTTCTTTATTTCTTCTATTGTCCATGGGGAAGTGGAAAAGAATCTGTCCTCTGTAAGCCATGCGTATCGTATGAGGAGGCTAAAATGCCGGGAGCAATGGGCTAGTAACCCCTTCTGTAAACATTTACTAAAAGAGAAGTATAATTATTGGAGTATATATATATATATATAAAACATGAAATAACTTTAAAATACTTAATGCAAATCAGAAATATTGGTACAGTTATTTCTCTTCCCGTCGGAGAAAATTAATTTGTGCAATGATCCAACATTAAAAAATTAAATAACTGTAATAGTCAAGACATTCCTGAGTAGCATTAATGTCTCCTTTTCCAATATTGTTCCTTCAGTGGTGGTAGTGTTGCTAGCTGATTTTAGCAGGGCTACAGTGGTAAATGCAGACATGCTGCCAAACGCCTTCAGCCTAGCAAAACAGACTCTACAAAGGTCAGCAACACCAACCACTTTGGAAGACAACATTTTCAAGAGGTGAGAATAAACTCCAGCTTTTTACAGTACACAAAGCATATTGTAATCTGGACCTGACTATTTTATATATTAGACTACTCATGCTGAGAAATCTTTAGCAGAGAGGAAGAGCCATTAGTATAGGTACAGTAGTTTGTATTTATTAGATTCTAACTAACTTTCATGTTTTAGAATAATACCAGATACAATAGAGAATCAGTACTTTTTTGGTATCTACAAATCTATTGCAGTTTGAAATACTCTTAAAATGTTAATTGACACTTACCCTGAAATTGTTGTGGTTTTAAAAGCTCAAAAAGTTCAAATGGCCAAAACATTGATAATACTCCTTAGTTATAATTTTTCATACTTTTAATAGCAGTGAAAATTTGAAGAAAGTTATAAATTTTAGATCAGTATACAGTAGGTCACCCTACCTTGGTTGACAGCCAGTGTGTTTAAAAAATATTAAAATTGCAATTTAACAAACATTTTTATTTACAGTAGTCCCCTCCCTCCCCCCATATCTGTGGGGGATACAGTCCAAGACCTACCATGGATATTTGAAACCGTGGATAGTAGTGAACCCTATACATGTCATTTTTCCTTTAACTACACACTTATGATAGATTAATTGATAAATTATCCAAAGTAAGTCCAGAACTAGCACTTTTCACTGATGGGAAACATTTTATGGTTTCTCTTCAGTTTTGAAGAACTGCCAGCTTCTCTGCTTTTGCACTTTGGGGCCATTATTAAGCAAAACTAAGGGTTATTATTGCATCAAAGTAAACAGTGGATAACTGAAACTGCAGATACTGAATCCATGGATATGGGGTACCCTACTATACTGTACTTGGATTAGGGATCCTATAGCACCTGGGGAATGGGAGGCATTCAGGTTAGATCTGAGGAAGGGTTAGAGAAGTCCATTTCCTTTGATCATGAGCCCCTTGTTACAGGTAGTAGGTTGGTAGACAGCAACCGCCCAGGGAGGTACTACCGTTCTGCCAAGTGAGTGTAAAACGAAAGCCTGCAAATGTTTTACATGATGGTAGTATTGCTGGTGTCCATTTTTCTGTCTCATAAACATGCAAGGTTTCAGGTACGTCTTGCTACCTCTACTTACACTTAGGTCACACTACACATACATGTACAAGCATATATATACACACCCCTCTGGGTTTCTTCTATTTTCTTACTAGTTCTTGTTCTTGTTTATTTCCTCTCACCTCCATGGGGAATTGGAACAGAATTCTTCCTCCGTAAGCCATGTGTGTTGTAAGAGGCGACTAAAATGCCAGGAGCAAGGGGCTAGTAACCCCTTCTCCTGTATACATTACTAAATGAAAAAGGAGAAACTTTCGTTTTTCCTTTTGGGCCACCCTGCCTCGGTGGGATACGGCTGGTGCGTTGAAAGAAAGGAAAGATGAGCCCCTTGTCTGCTTCACCCCTTGAGGGTGGTAGTAGTACACTATTGCAAAAATAATATAGGAATATGATGTTTTAAAAGTAATCTCTCCTGACTTTTTAACAAACAAACTTATTGCATCAACTTTGATTCAGATTTTACTTTTGCACTCTCCCCTACCTTTGCACATTCCTCTCTGCAGCACTGTACGGCTCTTGGTTTTAGCACTATTATTATTACTTATAATGGCAAGGGGAGAACACAATGTATACTGATGCTTAATAGCAAACACTAGTTAACTTTCCTTAATGACTGTACTCAAAATTAGTGTGATTTTGATAAAAAAAAAAATTTCTTATAGGGTGGATGTGATAGCCTTAGAACAGCTGCTAAGTTTTGCAGGCATGATAAGACCTTACTCTTGCTGGTGTACTAATGCAAATACAACTTGCCCAGTCCACATTCCAGTAGTTCCTCTCCACAAGGTCAGTGGGAATTAATGTTTCTAATCCCTTGTTAAGCAAGTCATTGGCTGTAACATGTTAATTAGTTATTGGTAACTGTTCCAACAAAATTTAAGCAATCTACAAGTCTTGCCTACCCTGATCTTTGCAAAGTTTATGCATGCGGTATGTCATTTTCATCCAATACAGTGGTACCTTGACTTAAGAGTACCCCAACTTACGAGTTTTCTGAGTTATGATCCATCGCTCTGTTGATTTTTTGCTTCGAGTTGCAAGCCAAAATACTAGTTATGAGCAAGCTTCAGATATGCCACCACTAGTTGGCGCTGCAAACACTACAACATCCGCAATATTGCCTCAAAACTGCAGAAGTGACGTCAGCTGAAGGATACATCCCTTAACAAGTCTTCAACTGTGACGAGACAGAGCTATTGTGGAAGACGATGCCAAGGAGGACTTGCATAAATGAAGAGATGATGATGCAAGGCCACAAACCCATGAAGGATAGGTTAACCCTTGCACTGTGCACCAATGCAAGTGGTGACTGCAAGCCCAAGCTGCTGTTTGTATATCATTCGGAAAACCCCAGAGCCTTTAAGTTGCATAAGATTCTAAAAGAAAAACTGCAGGTGATGTGGAGGGCAAACCCAAAGGTGTGGGTCACTAGGCAGGAGAAAATGCTTCAATATAACGCTAATATCAAATCTATGGCTTATTCATCTGTTAGAATTGATCTAATATGATATAATAAACACTATAAATAACATAGAAATATGATATACACTCTAGAATGAATAAAATAGGCCATGATATGGCGAGTGTTGACGACCAATCCCACACATAAAATAATTACTGCTCCTTCCTATAACGTGTTCTTTGGTCCTGGGTAAGAGAAAACTGAGTTTTTGTGAGGCTAACTGCACTAGATCACTAGTTTCACAAGGAAAATGCTGAAACAAAAGTGATTTTCTCAGAAAAAAATGGGCTATTTTATTGAAACTTGCTATCTTGGTTATGAACTCGTCTTCATGTACACCAAAAATGAAAGAAATCGGACGAGAGAAAAAAAAATGAGGGTCCAAATTGCTTATGCCTTCCCTTAAGTTCAGCGATAAAATGTAGCATTAAGAGTGTAGCAAGTAAGTTAAGCGAGTTTATGATCGAATGAAAACGACCGAAAAAGCAGGAAACGAAACTAACTCCTCCAATCTCCTCTGCCTGTCTTTTCCACCCTCCACCTCCGCCAGCATCTTTCGTTAGCCCAAGTCGTCTGATCTCCAAGGTAAATACACTTTATAAAACCAGTTTATTTCTTTACATTCTCTTTTATTGTTTTTATACAATATTTCTTTTTTATAAATACATTTTTCTTATTTAAAAACCCATAACAATTTTTTTTTTTTTTTTTTTTTTGGGGGGGGGGGGGGGGGGCTGGAATGGATTAATGGCATTTCAGTTAATTTCAATGAAGAAAATTTACTTGATATATGAACAAACCGAGTTATGAGCTCGGTCATGGAATGAATTAAACTCTTAAGTCAAGGTACCATTGTATTTGTTTACCAAAACTTTTTTTTATGTAGAATACAGTTACAGATTCCAAAGAAATGCTTAATATGGAAATTAAAGGTAACTTTATTCAAGCTACTTGGAGATGTGTGTTATATGGCATTTAATGCCTAAATTTAGTAGTAATTGCCATTTTAATAGATTTTGTAGAATATAATATGTACAGTATGGAATGTGCTCTTTAAATGTAACATGAGAGCAGAGCATTAGCTCCAAAATTTGTAAGCAGGTAATGGGATAGTTTTTCCTCTATGCTGTATTAACAAGAATAATGTGGATTTTTAAATTTTTTCCTTTACTCATTGAATGTTACCACTTTCTCAAGTTTAAATAATTTTGTTTGGTATAGAGCAAAAATTTAAAGGTGTTAAATATACCCTCTAAAATATCTTTTTTACCAAGGTTCTCAATGTGTCATGTGATGACCTGAGTGTATACTGCTGCAAAGAACGAGACTTGCCCATCAGAACAAATCACATGGTGACCACTGCAGAAGACCTCAGTAGATTCTTAGACACAACTATTGATAGTCTGAGGCCTCAGAAAAGCAAGATACTGGTAGAAAGTAGAAATGAAAGCTTACCAGAGGTGAGTTGAAGCAAGTTGAAATTCAGAATGGTCCTATAATTATTTGAAAGAGAAATTAAATTCTAGTTAAGTTAGATATAATAGAGGTATAATTGCATGAAAAGGTTAAATATCTTGTCTGAATGCCAAACAATCATCTGAATATTTTATCTTTACAGAAAGGGTTTCATAGCCTCTATAATCACAGTTCTCCACAAGTTAAGATAGAGGCCAGATATAGATATATCAATGAAACTGTAAAGACTGATCACACAAGTACACAAATTCGCAACATTGAAGATAAAATAATTCTTGCACTGAAAGATATTGTGGACCACCTATTGGCTGCATCTGCACAGCTACACACGGTAAAGTTATCTCGCCAAAAGAGAACTCTTGTTTCTTCTTCGGAAAATGCAGCTGAAGAAATTAACTCTTTAGAAACAGGAATAACACATCTTCAAGCATTCAGAAAATTCAGTTAACTAGTGAGCATAATATTAGTAATGCTATATTTGCAATGAATGATCTTGCTGTGCCATATGACAGTCTAGGCTGGTTCTCTAAGGTAGTAGAGAAAGGAATAGATATATCCATGCATGTTGTCATCATGGTGGTAGTAATGTTGGTTGCTTCACAAGTTGTAGCTGGTGTTTTTCACATTATTCAAGAAACTTGTTTAATTTGCAATTATATAGGTTATGCCAATGTGGCAGGTATTGCTTAGTCGTGCAAAATCATTGATGTATCATAAAATAATTAATGTTTAGATTTTCACAAACATTTTCTTAATACAGAAGCACAAGTTTTAATTTTTTTTGATAAAGTACAGTGGAACCTCAGTTTTCATGATTAATTCATTCCAGAAAGTCTGACGAAAACCAAACTGTACAAAAACTGAAGCAATATTTCCCATAAAAAATAACGTAAATTCAATTAGTCCGTTCCAGACACCCAAAAATATTTACAAAAAATACATTTTATAGAGAATAACTATAGTTTTACATACAGAAAACAATGAGAAATATAAATGACTAATGAAATGGATAAATGAACACTGAATATCACTTTTACCTTTATTGAAGACTCTTCTTGGCATATAGAAGACAGTGAGAAGGGGAGAGGAAGGAGGAGAGCTTATTGTTTAGAAGTGGAATCCCCCTTCATAAGGACTTCAGGTATCAAGGCCCTCTCCTGGGTTATTTCCCTTCTTTCTTTTACTGGCACTGGGACCAGCTTAGGTCACTGGACTCTTGTCGCATAAAAAAAAAAAATGTTCAGAGGTCTGTTTCTGGCATCTCTAAGATTTGCCCAAAATGGAACAAGGCATTGTCATTGAGCATGTTGCAGTCAGAATGCTTGCAACAGCTTTGTTAGGGTGATATTTCTCCACGAAACTTTGCAACTCATTCCACTTTGCACACATGTCCTTAATCACTGATGAAGGCACATTCTCACAATGCTCACTCAAGAAACAAAGCCAGACTAAGTCAGAACGTATGGGATGATTTGTGTGGGCCCCAGGCAGGCGGGCATGTTTGGTACGGCGGACCATTGTCAACTCTATGAAAACCAAGCGGATGTACGAAAACTGGGACAAAATTTAAATGAAAAAAGTCGTTGAAAACCGAATCCTATGAAAACCAGGGCATACGAAAACGGAGGTTCCACTGTAATGGCCTTGTATTTGATTAATATGACTTAATGGCAGTGTACATTTTTTTTTTTTTTTTTTTTTTTTTTTTTTTTTTAAGATTTGAAAGCTGGCTTTTAGTAGATTTAAGGTCATCTTTCACTAAAGGGGGGAGAATCATTCATGAACTGATAGGGAAGCCATTTTGGTGACAATTTCAAATAGTCAGTGAATTGAAAGAAAAAGATAAATTGTCTTCAGTGTTCTCTTTTAACGTTGTGGCACGTTTTCTGAGATCGTATTTTTTCCTGTTTGCTTTAAGTTTTGCAAAATTTTCTTAAAAACCTGCATGCTTTTCCTATCCCAGTACAGTACATGTTATCTTTAATAAAGTGAGCTACCATACATTATGTAAAAAATACAGTGGACCCCCGCATAACGATTACCTCCGAATACGACCAATTATGTAAGTGTATTTATGTAAGTGCGTTTGTATGTGTATGTTTGGGGGTCTGAAATGGACTAATCTACTTCACAATATTTCTTATGGGAACAAATTCGGTCAGTACTGGCACCTGAACATACTTCTGGAGTGAAAAAATATCGTTAACCGGGGATCCACTGTAATTTTCAATTCATAAACAATTGCACAATAAAATAGAATTTTTAACATCTATAATAAAAAGTATAACAATGTGTGTGTGTACAGTATATTAATATTACTGTATACACACACACATATATACATAAAATAACTTATCCTGATCTTACTACTGGTACAGGTAAGTTAGTCCATTTCCTAAGGTTTTCTCTAAATTAACCCTCTGACTGCCGGTGTTGTCTTACGAGCCAGTGTCAGTGACCTATTAATATGCCGAAATTCTTGCAGCTTCAAATCAAGTGGGAGAAAGCTGGTAGGCCCACATGTGAGAGAATGAGTCTTGTGTGGTCAGTGTGTGCAGTATAAAAAAATCCTGCAGCATGCAGTATATAAAGGAGGAACACTGCAGTAGGCCTACTGACCCATGTGAAGCAGGTTCATCCCCCCCCCCCCCCCCAATGAGCCCAATGACCCACTAACACTAATGCACTATTGTCTTGGTTTTAGATTACTGCTAACCAGAACTCCTAAATCCTTTTTGCAATCAGTATACATGAATTATGGGGGGGGGGGATCTACATTATTTAGTTTATATGTGGCATGGTTATTTTCCTGTCCAACATTTAGAATTTTGCATTTGTCTATATTAAACTGCATCTGCCACTTCTCCGACCATTGCATCAGTCTATTCAAATCATCCTGGAGTGCTCTAGTGTCCTCATTAAAATGAATTGGCCGGCCTATTTTGGCGTCATCAGCAAATTTGCTTATGTCACTATTTATTCCCTCGTCTATATCGTTTATGTAAATTGTGAACAACGGGCCCAACACTGACCCCTGCGGAACACTGCTTGTGACGTGCCCCCATTCTGATTTCTCCCCATTTATGCAAAAACACTGCTGCCTATTTGTCAGCCATGCCTAATGAGACAAAAAAAAAAAGCCTCTGATCGTGTTTTTTGGATTAAAACGCTGACTTTGAAGTGTATTTTCATAGAGTATTTATGATTGTATTCTTGTTTTCTTGGTCTTGTTTGATAGAATGGAAGATGTATTACAGAAAGAGATGATTTTGATTGGTTTTACAATGAAAAGGACCTTGAAATTGAGCTCAAAGTAGCAGAAATGTTGTATTTTTGCCGATGTTCGAGAGTAAACAAATGATGCCACCGTCCAATAAGTGTCCAACTAGCCATTCTAATACTCGGTCACTAATGGGTTGACATTATTTCTACTGTTATGCAGTAGTCTGCATAACAGTAAATCTTCTATTTTTTGTGTGAATAAAAATTCAAAATAGAAAGCAAAAGTAATATAAGAGGGGACTGGAGACGTGACTAATGAACAGAGGAAGTTACTTTAGTGCCAGGAATGTCTGCGTTGTTTATTCTGGACCCTGTTTTGAAGTTGGCATATTTTTTAATTTGTGTGAAATTGACCAAATTGCCAATTTCTGACCACTTTATTGGGTGATTGAAATTGGTAAATGGGCGGTTTCTTGTACAGTGGACCCCGCATAGCGACATTAATCCGTGCAAGAGAGCTCATTGTTATGCGAAATTATCGTTATGCGAATGAATTTTCCCCATAAGAAATAATGGAAATCAAATTAATCCGTGCAAGACACCCCAAAGTATGAAAAAAAAAATTTTACCACGTGAAATATTAATTTTAATACACACAAACTGAAAAAGGCATGCACAATTACATGACACTTACTTTTATTGAAGATCTGGTGATGATTGATGGGATGGGAGGAGGAAGAGTGTGTTAGTGTTTTAGAAGGGGAATCCCTTCCATTAAGACTTGAGGGTGTCCCAATCCTTTTTCTGGGGTTACTTCCCTCTTTCTTTTAATGCCCACTAGGACCAGCTGCAGAGTCACTGGAGTTCTGTCGCACAACATATCTGGTCATAGTGGCCTGTACCTCTCGTTCCTTTATGAACTTCCCTAAAAGTGTTTCACAACATTGTCAGTGTAATAGTCACCTAGCACGGCTTGCAATAGCTGTGTGAGGGTGATTTTTCATCCATGAAGGTTTGCATCTTCAAGCCACTTTGTACAGATTTTCCTTAATCTTTGTAGTAGCAATTTCTTTAACATTTCTCCTCGTCCTCTCCTTCGAACAAGGTTTCGTCAGGTCCCTGGCCTCTTGCTGTTTGAAGTTGAACTATCAGCTCATCAGTGGTTTAGTTCTTCATTGTCCTCCTCCACCAACTCTTCCACATCACCCCACTAACCACCAACCCAAGGACTTTCCCAATGCATAAATGGATTCTCCATCAACTGCATAGGATTCCAGGTTAGAGCCCTGGAAACCCTTCAAATCCCTTTGGTCTACACATTCTGGCCACAGTTTTTCTTCTCCAAGCAGAGTTCAAGGTCCTCTAGTCACTTCCCTCCCAAGCCTTACTATAAGGTTTACACAATTGAGGATATTAAAGTGATCTCTGCCAAAAGTCTCTTACTACTTTGAGTTTTCTGAGGTCACTACAAAGCACCTTTCAAACAGAGCTTCTGTTGGTACAGTTTTTGAAGTTTGCAATAACCTGCTGTCCTTGGTCTGCAGAGAGGAGTGGTATTAGGAGGCAAAAACTTCACCTTAATGATTTCATGTCCCATAAAGCGCTCTGCTGCACGTCTGTAGGAATGACCAGGGGCATAGTCTAACACCAGGAGGCTCTTAAGTTCTAATTTTCTTTTCAGTTAGGTAATCTTTCACATTGGGGGCAAATGCATGGTGTAACCAGTCATAGAAAAAGTCCCTAGTAACCCATTGCCTTACTGTTGCCCTCCACAGCACACAAATTTTCCTTGAGGACATATCTTTTGCCTGAACGGGGTCTGGGGAGTTTCAGAGTGATACACAATAAAAGGCTTCACTTTGCAAATCACCAGTAGCATTTGAACACATCAACAGAGTAAGCCCTGTCTTTCAATAGGCTTTATGACCTGGGAGTGCCTTTTCCTTCTGATAATGTAGTCCTGCTTGGCACATTTTCCTTCCAAAACAGGCCTGTTTCATCATCACAATTAAACACTGTTCAGGTTTCAGTCCTTCAGTTTCTATGTACTCCTTGAATTCCTCACCAAAAAGTAATTTTTTTTATTTGTATTTTTTTTTTTTTTCAGACTGCTTTGTGTCCGAACTGCAGCCTCACCATGCCTTATCACCCTATGTATGCCACTACGCCTCTTAAATCTCTCAAACCCAACCTTTGCTGGCCTTAATTCACTCACCTCATCACTAGTTGCAGGCCTTTTTTAATTAAATCCTCATGCAACTTCCCTAGCCTTTTCACTTATATCACTTGAGAGACTATCTCCTGCTATCTGTTTCCATTATCCAACCAATAAAAGTCTCTCAACAATCTGCATCACTTGTGATCTCTGTTACGAAAAACACAGTTAAACCTTTGCAAGAACAGCTTCCTTGATTGCCTTTTTGTTGCCCACAATAGTAGCGATGGTTGATTGGGGTTTATATACAACCTGGCCAGCTCGGAGACACGCACCTCCACTTTCATACTTATCAGTGATCTCATTCTTCCATCTCTATAGTAATTCTCACTCTTATTGCGTATGGGTTGGCACAGAAAGCTACTTGGGGCCCATGGTCACTTATTTTGCAATAAAATCACCAGAAACACTGTAATAATACGAATGTTCCGATTGTATGCTAGGATGTTACCCGGAGCTGTGCTGGATAAACAAGCCACCGCGGAACCTGCAGGCTGGCTAAGGGCGCACATTAACCGTCCGGACGAACCGCGTAGAGCGGGTTTTTTAAGCGTATGCGAGGCAAAATCTTAGACGATAAAATGTAGAGGTATCAGATTTATCGTTAGTGATGCCAACGGTATGAGGGGGTCCACGTACTCAGGTCGAAAGAACAAGTGTATCTAAAGAAATATATGAGTTTAGTAACTCCAACAATGGAAATTGCTGAAAGTAGGGCTCAAGAGACAAAATCGCTGATGTGTATACAAGTGGACCCACCCCTGCCTTAGGACGCATCCGTTACGTTAAATTCCGCCATAATGAACATTCTTGAACGCAAAAATTTTGCCTCGCAATAAAAAAAACCTCGCCTGACGTGATTCGTCCGGACTGTCCACGTGTGGCCTCAGCTGCCTCGGGGGTGCCAGTGTTTTACCAAGCCAGCCATGCGGTCACATCTAAAGCATAACATTCGTATCAATTTTGTATTATCAGTGGTTTTTGAGTGCTTGTACCTTGCACAATAATCACATTGGGCCAAAGAAAGCTTCTTGTGCCAACCCTGTGGAAAAAGGTTAAAAATTAACTATGGAAATGAGAAGATAATTGGTAAGTACAAAAGTGGAGTGTGTGTCTTGGAGCTGGCCAGTGTTGTATACCAAACCCCAGTCATCATCGCTACTAATCATTGCCAACAAAAACACAATTAAGGAGCTGTTCTTGCAAAAGGTTGCAACTTTGTTTTCGTAACAGAGACCACAATGATAGATGTTGAGAGACTGGTTATATGTGTGGATACTGATAGCAGGAGATAGCATCTCCAAGCGATTCATATGTGAATAGGCTAGGAAGTTGCATACGATTAATTAAAAAAATGCCTGCCAACTAGTGGTGATGTGAATTTAAGGCCAGGCAAAGGTTGATTATGAGAGATTTAAGATCGTAGTGCATAGTGTGATAAGGCATAGCGAGACTGCCAGTTCGGACCAAAAAGCGGCTGAAAAATATGTGAAGGAATTCAAGGAGTACATACAGTGAAGAACTGAAACCTGAACAAGTGTTTAATTGTGATGAAAACAGGCCTGTTTTGGAAAAAAAATGCCAAGCAGAACCTTCAGTACTCAGGAGGAAAAGGCACTCCAGGAACATAAGCCTATGAAAGACAGGCTTACTCTTTTGATGTGTCTAATGGCTAGTGAGATTGCAAAGGAAGCTTCAATGGTGTATCACTCTGAAACTCCCAGAGCGTTCAGGCAAAACGTGTCCTCCAAGGCTATTTTGTGTGTGCTTGGAGGCAAACCTCCTTCAGGGGGGCTCCTTGCGTGGTGAAGAGGCTCTTGGTCTGAGGAATAACCCTGTCGTCTTCTTCCTCAGACCGAACTAATACCCCCCATTCCTCCCCACCCCTATCCCATCCTCGCCCTTTTTTCACATTCCTCCTCCTCCTCCTCACCCCTCCCTTTTGGCCCTTCCTCATTTTTAGCCTTCGTGATTTCTCCCACAGGCGCGCTAGTTTCCAGGTAGGGGAAGGACACCGGGTCCATCCCATTTCCGTTGAGGTTTCTTGGCGGGGCGTAGTTTGCCGTGAATCTGGATTGCCTAGGATGTCCCGATCCCTCTCCGGTATCCCGGAGTAGCTTTGGGTGTCTTTGGGGCGAGGGGGGGGGGGGGACGGGTGTATCTCTGGAAGC